GGGGATCGAACCGCAGTCCCTGTGCTTTGACAAGCTTGTTTCAAGTAGGTGCTTTAGACCACTGAGCCATCTCTCCAGCCCTTCTTTGAGGTTTTGTAAGCAAGTAAACAGCAGATTGGAAATGTCTATTCTAAATATTCATTCGATATCCGATACTTATATTACTGACATCTTATTTCTCTAAGTGCATGTTGTACAATGTCGTACGAAGCTCCTGAGAAAACAGGAGGAGAAGCGAGGTGGCAAGACCGCCGCGTAGGAAGGGAAAGCTAAGCACACGTGCTCTCAGTGTAAGCGAGAACCTGCAGCGTGCACAGAACCTGCAGTGGTCATGCATGAAGAGTGCCGCGGGTGCGGCAGCAGGAGCAAAACTTATTTCTGTGGTGAGGTTCTACTGGTTCTATTCTCATTGTAGTTCGTATAGGAATTTATATCTGATGTTATCTTTTAGGTTTTAAAGGAGGCATACAACTGATGTGAAATGTTGATGTCTATTCTAACTGCATAATACATACTAAGAATTTAATCGTGTTTTATTGATATTTTATGTTCCTGTTAACAACACACTGTATAATCTAGCAAAAACCTCCTGACGAAACAGCAAGCCCACTGAGATGTCAGGTATGCCTTACAAAAAGGCCAGGAAAGCAAAAGACAGAAAGACAGTGCTGGCCATGTAAGCGATGTGTGTGTGTGTGTGTGTGTGTGTGTGTGTGTGTGTGTGTGTGATGTGCTGCTGTTATGTGTGGTGACTGCCTTAGGTGGATAAGTGAAGTAAAGAATTTTTTATTGGTAGAGTGCTATTGGTATTTTCATTGTAGTTCATACGGGAATTTATTTCTGACGTTCTTCTTTAAACTCTGGACACCAAAAACCAGTCAATGTTGAAAATTTTGATGTTTTTTTAATAAACAATAAATATTAGAAACACAATAGTTACCTTTGTGATATTTTTTCCTGAGTATGTACTCATTGTTTAACATAATAAAACTCAGACAACTAACAATAATTCAGCAACAGGACCGGGAAGATAGCTCAGTGGTCTAAGCACCTGCCTCACAAGAACAAGGACCCGGTACCACATGCCGTGCATGGTGGCGCACACCTGTAATCCCAGTGCTGGGAAGAGACAGAGCAGTGAGCCACGTGTCACCTCACCGTTCTCGGAGGAACGTGCAGCAGGCGTCTTTGATGCTTTGCAGCTGCAGGAAGCTGGCCCCCATAAGCAGCGACTGCACGTTCTGCTGGTCAATGGCCAGGTTGCCGTTGTAGGCGAAGTTGATGAGCGCCTCCAGGGCACTGGAGGAAAAGGAATGCATGAGAAGCTCTGCAGAGAGAGGCGGGTCCTCACTGCGCCTGCCCACAGGACCCCCAAGGAGAGGTGGCCTGGCCTGGAGCCCACGTGGCCTCAGGTCCCTGGCCTGAGGATCTGTCTACGTGACATTACTACTCTCCCACTCCCAAGCTGTCTTCACCACCCAAATAATTTAATGGTGGAAAATTCTGAAAAAGAAAACAATCAGCCACAAACAAATTACTGAACATCTTGTGGGGGTCATTTTGGGGGCCTGCACATATACATGAGATGGCTGTGAGCACAAAACCCTCACCAAGCCAACACTTACAAGGTGCTACACTTGCTTCATGTTTGCTGTTCTTGGTAGCTGCTATAAGATATCTCAACATGGAAATACGTTCTAATTTATTGCCCTATTGGTAGGCATCTAGCTGCTTCCATCTTTTACCATTTAATGTTTTGGGGTAAATTACTAGCACAAGACCTCTAATGGCTTCCAGCTCATGGAGACTGAAATCTGAATTCCAGCCACAGCGCTGGACGAGTGCAGCTCTCCCCAGCCGAGTGCAGCTGCGAGTGCAGCTCTCCCCAGCCGAGTGCAGCTCTCCCCAGCCGAGTGCAGCTGCGAGTGCAGCTCTCCCCAGCCGAGTGCAGCTCTCCCCAGCCGTCTGACCGCCTTACGTCACTCTTTGCTTTCCTTGCTCTCTTCTGTGCACAGCTGCACCTCACTTTGCTCGGGCTGCTCCCTCGAGGGGAGGGCTTTCCCGAAAAGACTCAGTTCCTCATGTGAGCTGAGACCCTTTCCTCAAGTGCCATCTCTGAGCACCCTGAGTACCCAGACCCTGCCTTTGTTCACGAGCCTTCACCAGCTTTACTCCTCTCCCTGCTGTACCATCAGTGTATTTGCCTCAAGCCTGCATGTCCCTGATGATGGATCAACCACGGTACCAGCACGGCTCCTTCAGACCCTGACCATGAAAGAGCACACAACTGCCGCAGGCTGCATGGCTGAGCCTCTCCTTCCGAGGGGGAAGCCTTGTGGTGTGGCACAACCTTTCCATGTGTGGGGCAGGTCCCTTCAATCACTGGGAGGGGACCACCCAGTGTCTCTCGGCTCCTTTCCTCTGGGTTTCTGCTCGGCGGCTGAGAGGTTAGATAGCAAATGACTGTGAGCTGCTCCCGGGATAACCTGAGGCTTGAACTCACGCTTCAATCATCTCTCCATCTAAGGAACGTAAATGCTGCCCCATTCTAGACCTGTCTTGTTGACTCTAACCACATATTCACTTTTTTTTTGGGGGGGTATTGGAAATCAAACTTAGGATCTTGCACTTGCCAAGCAGGCACTTATGCTGCTGAATTATCTTCTTGGCTCCAACACACATTGACTATTTAAATTGTTATTTATTTATTTATCTATCTGAGACAGGGCTTTGCCCTGTACCCCAGGTTGGCCTTGAACTTTCAACAATATTTCTGTCTCAGCCTCTACTCCTGCAAATACTTAATAAACTAAGTTTAAGAGCGGGGGAGATACTGCGGCAGCTTAAGCACTTGCCTGGCAAACACAAGATCCAGAGTTTGATCCCCTGTACCACGTGAATAAATAAATAAAAAATAGCTTTTCCAGATCCACTGGTCCCATTTCAAGTGCCCAGTGGCCTTCTGTGGCTAGTGGCTGCCATTCCCACAGTGCTAATGCAGTGTTTCACTGATGCACAGTGGAAAGCACCATTCTAGACAGGATGGGAACACAGACACTGATTCGGATGATTCTGCCAGCTGGAACAGTTGGTTCAGAAAAGTCTGGAGAGTAACTGTGCTACCACCTAGTCGCAGGGTAAAAAAATAGCCTGGATACTAGGTGCTACGAAACATACTATTCTAACAGTAGAATAAAAACCACTGTGAAACTCCCTTCCCAGCCAGGCATGGCAGGGCACACCTGCCATCCCAAGACCCTGGGAGACTGGGGCAGGAGGACTGCCAAGTGTGAGTCCAGCTTAGGGAACTTAGTGAGAGCCTGTTCAAAATACAAAGTTATACAGGCCTGGGGATACAGTCACTGTGAGGGCCTTGAGTTCAATCCTAGCACTGCAAAAACAAAAATCAACCCCTCATTTTAACCCTGTCTTAGGTTTCTGGCTGAGGCTCTAACTGTTCCGAAGCGCCTTCTCCTTGTGTGGAGCCCTTGGGCCCTAGCGTGCCAAAGCTGCCCAGGAGAGTGCCGATGTGCGTACCTTGGGTCCATCCCTTGCATGACGATCTCGTCCTGCTTGCACTCCATCATGTCATTGGTAAACATGGCGTGGAAGTACGGGATGGATGCTGCTAGGACGATCCGGTGAGCGCTGAACTTGTGGTCCCCGATCTGCGGGCGAAGTGAGACAGAAAGACGGACGCTGAGGAATGTGAAAAGAAAGACCATGTTGGCCTCCCACCGATTACCTCTGCTGCTGCAGCACCCCTGCAGCCTTTAGGCCCTGCACTAAGCTCAGACCCAGCAGACTGGCTCTGGGAGAACAAGGAAACAGGACATTTTACCAGGGGGTTAAACACAAAGCCTGAATGCACGCGTGAGTGGCAGTTTCTGCTCAGCTGGCAGCCTCCACCCCTTCACCCACCCAAATACTGACTCCTTCAACACTACCCCAACCTGGCTGGCTGAGAAGGCAGAGGAATGATGGACCAACTGCCCAGGATGCTGGCGCTGCTAACAGCATGCTCCGTAAGAAAAACAGATAATCGGTGACAGGAAGCAACAAGGAGAAAAGAGGCCAGACATCGAGTGTGCTTGTGCGGTTTATGCATGCATGTGTGCAAGCAGGCAAGTGTGCGTGTGTATGCATGTGTGATCGTGACCAAGGGCAGAGCTGGCACTTGGGACTCTAAAGTTGGTGTTGGTGTGGCAGTCCTTGGTGGACATCAGCAGCCCAGAGCTCCTCCAGGGAAAGTGAGCTAGGCAGGAGTGGCTTGTGCTCTGCATGCCCGAAGGGCAGATGCCAGCTCTCCCTGCAGCCTGCAGCCGGCTCTCCCAGAGGCGCCCAAGGAAATCCATGAAGTGCTTACCAACTGTTTGCCCCAAGGCTATTCCTTATAAGCTTCATCATTTATAGCTCCAACCTACATACACATTCCATTCAGGAAACTTCTGTTCTCCACAAGAGGGCCAAGTCTCTGCCCACCCACTCCTTGGGATGAGCCCTACACTCATCCTTGGGTACCACACTGACCCCAGGCTGCTCCCTCAGGATCTGATCCTGTTTTCCTTCACTGAGCTCAGGTTTGTTATCTATAGACAGTCCTTCTCAAGGACTCTCATTAGATTCAAATCCTGTCAGTTTCTCTCCTCTGGGCTCTGAAGTCACTTCTGTGGGGGACATCAGAGGAGAGGCCCACAGGGAGGGGACCCTCGGGACTGAAGCAGACACCAGCACCAAACTGCAGGAGGGACCGCTGAGCCAATTCTGCATTTCTGACCCCCAGAGAGTGGGGAGGCAGCCATGCACAGCCGACACCCCAAGCTTCAGGAAGCTGGAAGGATCGCTGCGAGCACAAGGCCAGCCTGGCCCACACCGAAGCACTCACACAGAAACTGTGAGGTGACAAATCCCGGCTGCTTCAGTCACTGTGTGGGGCATCTGCTGTGCAGTGATTATAACTCTTATGTTACTAATCTTTCATAAGCCATTACAGAAGACTAGGTTTGGGTTTGACACCTTTCACATACATCCCACAGCCTCATCTTGCATAATCAGGTCAAACTTTTTTTTTTTTTTTTGAGACAGGGTCTCATTCTGTAATTCAGGCTCACCTTGAAGTCACTAGTAGCCCAGACTGGCCTTGAACTCAAGAAATCCTCCTGCCTCGGCTTCCCAAGTTCTGGATTTCAGGCGTGTGCCGCCACCACACCTGGCATAACTTGAGTTGTAACAGGCATCTTAGTTTCAACTTATGACCAAAGTCTTAAGTTATGACCCAGGCCGCCTGTGCGTCCAATGGTCTCAGATACAGATTAACCCTTAAAAGTTTAGGGAACATTACAACACCCTTTCCCATATGAGGTTATCTGAGAAATCCTGGGCCAGTATCTAAGCACAGAGATCTGCCTTGTGTACAGGGGAAAAATTTTTTTTCTGTCAGAATTCTGAATGTAGTCTTCTAAAAGGCTTAAGGCTTTTGAGAAATCTAATGCCACTTTGAATATCAACTTTAAGAGGCTGTTTTCTCTAAGGTGTTTAGAAACTTTTCTGGAAAAATCTTTGTATACCATTTCTTTGGTAATTTTTATCCCTGTAATGTATCCATCTTCCCAAACTTCTGCTAACAGAATGAATCTCTTGGAATAATCTACTGTCCTTCTTACCTCTTTTATTTTTCCATCGCTTTCATTTGGTCTATTACCCAGAAACTTTTTTTTTTTTTTTTTTTTTTTTTAATATTTTTTATTTATTTATTTATTTATTTTTAACATTTATTGTATGTGTGTGTGTGTGTATATGTGTGTGGCCAGCTCAGCCCACCAGGGGGCAGGGCTGGCTGGCATGTGGTGCTGGAGGATTGAACCGTGGTCCCTGTGCTTTGCCAAGCTTGTTCCAAGTAGGTGCTTTAGACCACTGAGCCATCTCTCCAGCCCCTTTTTTTTTTTTTTTCAAAGTTTTATTGATAAACAGATAGCAATGAGACAGTTTCAAATCAAATCGGAAGTACAGTTTCAACAAATAATACACTGCATATATTCTTCTTAGTGGTTAATTGCTGTACTACCCAGAAACTTTTTAAACCACATTTTTTAATCTTTTTGTGTTATATGTTCTGGGGCTTTCTTCTTTTAAATAATCTTGTTCACCTTTCAAGAATGAGATTTTCTTTCATCTCTCTTGGTATACCACATAATTTAAATTTTTTTTTTTGTCTTTTTGAGACAGGGTCTTGCTGTGCAGTTCAGGTGGCCTTAAGCTCACTCTGTAGCCCAGTCAGGCCTTGAGCTCTCAACAATCCTGCCTCAGCCTCCCAAGTGCTGGGATTACAGAAGGCCACCTCCCTGCTTGGGTTTACTATCTCCTTCGAGACATTTTTTTTTCCATGTGCTTCGTCTTTTATTTTACATCACTGGCTTTCTTTGAATGTCTGGTGACATCTGCTTATCTGTTCAAAGATTTCAAGCTGTTGGAAAGCTCTACTGCTATGGGAAACAGAAACACCAGAACACCACCCAGGATTTGGAGGCAGATTTATTTTATACCGATGGGCACTGACTGGGACTATTCCCATAATATCAGACCCTGATCTCTAATGGTCTAAGCCTTTTTTTTTTGGCAGAACCAGGGATTGAACTCAAGCCCTTGCACTTGCCTCTTTATTCTACTGAGCCACCTCCTCAGCCCCTGGTCTAAGGCTTTTATATGATGCATACTCAGGTGGTACAAATGCGAGACAGAGCAGCCTGGCAGTTCTGATTAGCTAGCAGGGTAAGATCATCCATTAAAAGGCCAGATTAGTGTTTATCGAGCTTGTTACAATCAGACATCCTGCATGTTAGATTATGTGCCCATAGTTACAGGGGTCGAGAAAGTAATGTAGTTACAGAGTTAGGAAGTTTCAAAAAGAACGAAGTTTTAAAAAGAACAATTTCTCTTGTGCAGTTTTCCCCTTTCATTACAAGACTACACTTGCCAACGTTTGGATTTCTATCAGGGTGATGGGGCAGGAATCTGAGCTTATCAGGGACCCTAGAAGCTGTCACCATCTGCAGGGTTTGCCTCTGAGGCTGAATTCATCAGCGTGGCATCTTCCAATCTCTCACACAGGAACACTTGCTGCAGGTATTCTAGAAACTGGGAGAGAGAGAGAGAGAGAATGTGTGGCTGTCTACTACTAAAACTAGACCTGCCTGTTCCATTTTGCTCTAGAGTGTCCTGTGCCTACGGGTGACAGGCCTGCAGGTGGAGCCTTTGTGGCAGTATCGCAGCCTCCTCCTGCCTCCTGAGGTGGCGGGAGAGGGACTCTCAGCAAGGAAGTACTACCGTGCAGACTCCTCACTAACTGTCCCGATTTGACTATGCGGTACCCGCGGTACCTGTACCGCCAACTCCAGAGCCACTACAGGGTTCTGCAACACAAATCCTCTTTTTCCCTTCTTACTCCCCTGGCAGGGGCTTTCTGTTCCTCTGATCCTCTGAGTCTGGCCCTCGCACCCCTGGACTCAGTGTTCAATTAATTTCTCACTTACTGATAGCTTGTTCCTCCTTTCCCACTATCATTTCAGGAGAGTGACTGGAGGGATTAAAGCTTAAAGCATAGGCTCAATTTGCTGTGCTTAACTGTTGGGCTTTGTTTTTTGACCTAGAAATTAAGCACAGGACAAAAGAACAAGCTGAATATTGACCTGGTTTCCCTGTAAGAACAGCTAACTAGAACGTAGGTCTGTCCTGTGATAGGCTAGCCACCTTCCATCTGAGTTCTCTGTGTGTAAGGGGAACAAGAAATCTGACCTTGTCTAGATGGGGCAGACTAAGCCGGGAAAGGGCCTGACGCTGTGTCTCAGGAAGAACGTCCGCAAGACCTACTGCGGAAGGCAGGAGGCACCAAGGGCCGTTCCATGGGCGATCACATGGCTGAGGACAGGTAAAGGGAAGCAGATTTTTCTTTATCATAAAGGGTAAGAGCCTACTGCCTAAGTTATTTAAGGGTTTTCTAGACTTGTTCTAAAACTAAGTGGCTGCTTAAGGGACTTTGTAATCCTTTTTTTTTTTTTTTCTTTTTTTTTGTGGTACTGGGGATTGAACTCAGGACCTTCAGCTTGCCAGGCAACTGCTTATTCTACTGAGCCATCTCCCTCGCCTGGGACCTTCTAATCCCATAATACTATGAAGCTATACTTTGTGAAAAGCTTTTAAATTATAAACACACTAATTTGTAATCTGGAAAGGTTACCCTTTGGGGGGTAGAGGGACTGGGTTTCCCTGTTCAGCCAGGTCTTGAATTCACTTTGTTGCCTAGGCTGGCCTTGAACTCAAAGCACTCTTCCTGCCCCAGCCTCCTGAGCACTGGGATTAAGGGTACACGTCACCATGCCCATCAAAGTGTTATTTTCTTACAGATAAATGTGAAAGTGTGAATTATGGTTTATGTGAGAGGACAGCTGGGTACCCTGGTACTTAGCTCGAATCACATAGGCTCGTGCAAAGGCTACTTTCTCCATGAATACACAGCCATCCGCTCTTTCAAGTCTTCCCTCTTTCCCATCCCTAAGGAGGCTAGAAAACATGAAACAGGTGTGTCAAAATCTAGAAAACAAACAAACAAAAAAAATCAGTAAGAGACCTATAACTGGTTGGCCAGGAAACCAAAGACGTTTGGCACTCAGCT